AATTGAATGATTAATACCTCAGGAAAGAAGGTACTCACGTGTTCCTGCTATTGATTTCATTTCACCATAGATTTTGGGGTTTTTTTTTTTTTTTTTTCAACAGCAGGAACTATGAATTTATGTACGTATCGGAAAACATTAATTTCTTGGTTCCAAGTTTTTCCCGGATTTTCTAGTTTCGCGAGCCGGACGAAATTTCGAATAAAGCACATCGGCGGTAGAACTACCACATCAAGTAGGTATCTCGTTTACGGTGTTTAAAATTCTCCGCTCTCTTTTTATTTTTGGAAAGGAGAACAAACCAATATCTTTCCTTGACATTTTTAAGTACAGATTTTTCTTCATACAGAGAGAAAAAATAACGCAAGTTTTTCAGGAATGGATGTTGGAGTAGTTTTTCATCTAAAAAATCAAGGATGACAGGAAGGCTCCGACTTCGCTACGTGGTCTGGTAGTTTCAGCGTCGACTCGTAATATATTGTTTAAATTCGCAATTTGTCCGGTGATCCATTCAGTATCCATGCCGTGGGATCTCCAAAAATAACATTTTTAAGTTTTGTTCTGTCGGGTTAAGAGACGATTGAACGGCGCGTAGCGAGGTTGATAATTGGCAAGGCGCCGCGCCGCGATGAAGAATTTTATGAATGGTAAACTAGTACGGTAAAACAGGATACAAATCAACGTGCTCCTAAGTCGAGAAATTGCCTACCTACGCACGTTGAAGGCGAACACGTATGGACACGCCGTACCGGCGAAGCAGCTAAGAGACGCAAAACATCCACTGGCTGAGGGCCGCAGAGGGTGCATGTTATTTCAAAAAATGTTTTGGTAGATCGATCGTTAAAAAATTTTCGAGGAACGAAGGATTCGATGAATGAAATTTTACGCTCGCACGCTACCCGCTCTATTTTCTTGAGTTTTTATCCTCACAATATCAAATTTGCTGAAGCTAAGGTACTTTCTTTTCAAATTCTACTGAATTTATTTCCAAAAACATCGTGGTTCTAGGGAAAAACTGTTCACACCCAAGGAGTACACAATAAAAAAGTTTTAAATCCGTGATCGTTTTGAATGAATGATATATTTGTGTCAAGAAAGAAACGATAAAAAATAAATAAATATATATAATTAAAAATAAAAACAAACAAAAAAACAAACATCAAATTTAGAGGTAGACTTGTTTCGAAGTGATCGATTTCAGAGAGTAAGCATTTGAAAAAATAGGAGAAAATTAACCATATCCGTTAAAATATCGTTTTAATCAAAACTGAAATCAATTTGATAGAAAACGCATATAATTACGCACGTATTCCAACCTAACCGATTGGTAATTCTGCACGACACTTTCGACTCATCGCGTTGAATAAGGAAACGCGGAAAACTGCCCGGAAAACTCGTGGCGACGAATGCCGCACGTTGCCGCGGTACGACTAGGACCGGGACCTAACCTCAACGAACCAACGGCCGGTCCAAGGTCACCGGCACCGAGCGTTTCGGAGGGGGCCTGGTCCCACGGCTCCCGGGAGGGGGGTCATGAGGAATACGCCGTTTTTTTTGTTTTCTTTTTGTACTTACGTATAGTTATTACCGCGGCTAAAACGCACTGTTCGTCGATCTGCTCTTGTCTTGTCTCGTCTCGTGTCGTTTCACGTACCATCTTCCCGCCGCCGACAGCCCCCCCCCCCCTTCTCAATCGCCCCTGTACAGGACAACTTGGCTCGGGGGTGAGAGGGGGGAGGGGAGGGTTTGGTTGTTACGTGGAGCTCGCATCGCGATGTGATGGAATGGTATCTGCACGCAGGATCGTCATTGTCGATCGAGGATGCTCCGGTTCTGACTGGAGACTTTATAATACCGTACGAATAACCAGTAGACGGAAACCGAATGCAACTTTCAAGGGAAAAATTATCTGTTGATTTCGGGCAAAATTATTTGCACCTAAGTCCCCAGGGAATGAGCTCCTGAAAATCAGGGGAAATCANAAATTTTGAATCCGGAAGAACGTTACCGCTGCGCGCTGTCCACGCGGTCAAACAGATTGTGAGACTCAGTTTGATTCGGGGGTCACCGCTCTTAGGAAAACTTTGAAATAAGAAATTACAATGGAACGAATGATCGAATTCGTTCGAGGGCGATTTCACCGTAAATTGAATGATTAATACCTCAGGAAAGAAGGTACTCACGTGTTTCTGGTATTGATTTCACTTCAGTACAGATTTTGAATTTTTTTTTTCTTTTTTTTTTCAACAGCAGGAAGTATGAATTTACGTATCCATCGGAAAACATTAATTTCTTGGTTTCAAGTTTTTTGTTACGGATTTTCTCGTTTTGAGAACCGGGCGATATCGACGTGAAATATCGATTAAAGCACATTTGACGGTGAAACTACCACACCACGTATCTCGTTTGCGGTGTTTAAAACTCTCCGTTCCCATTTTATTTTTGGGAAGGCAAACAAACCAATATCTTTCCTTGACATTTTTAAGTACAGATTTTTCTTCATGCAGAGAGAAAAAATAACGCAAGTTTTTCAGGAATGGATGTTGAGTAGTTTTTCATCTAAAAAATCAAGGATGACAGGAAGGCTCCGACTTCGCTACGTGGTCTGGTAGTTTTAGCGCCGACTCGTAATATATTGCTTAAATTCGCAATTTGTCTGGTGATCCATTCAGTATCCATGCCACATGATCTCCAAAAATAACATTTTTAAGTTTTGTTTTGTCGGGATAAGAGGTGATTGAACGGCGCGTAGCGAGGTTGATAATTGGCAAGGCGCCGCGTCGCGCCGCGATGAAGAGTATTATGAATGGTAAAAAAGTACGGTAAAACAGGATACAAATCAACGTGCTCCCGAGTCGAGAAATTGCCTACATATGCACGTTGAAGGCGAACATGTACGGAGGTCGTCACGCCGAGCCGGCGAAGCAGCAAAGAGACGCGAAACATTGACTGGCTGAGGACCGCAGAGGGTGCGTGGTATTTCAAAAAATGTTTTGGTACCTAGATCGATCGTCAAAAAATTTTCGAGGAACGGAGGATTCGATTAATGAAATTTTTCGCTCGGACGCTACCCGCTCTATTTTCTTGAGTTTCTATCCTCACAATATCAAATTTTCTGAAGCTTTGGTACTTTCTTTTCAAATTCTACTGAATTTATTTCCAAAAACTTCGTAGTTCTAGGGAAAAACTGTTCACACCCAAGGAGCACCCAATACAAAACTTTTAAATCCGTGATCGCTTTGAATGAATGCTATTTTTTGTGTCAAATCACAAACAATAAAAAATAAATAACTTAATTAATAAATTAATAAATGGATAAACAGTACAATAAACAAATAAATAAGTTAAAAGAAAAACAAACAAACAAATAACAAAACAAAAAAACATCAAATTCAGATGTAGACTATTTTCGAAATGATCAATTTCAGAGACAGGAATTTGAAAGAAAGGAGAAAATCTACTAAGTATGTATGTTCAAATATAGTTTTAATCAAAACTGAAGTCAACTTGATAGAAATCGCACATAACTACGCATACGTATTCCAACCTATTACCCTCCTCGATTGGTTTTTTTTTTGCACGACACTTTTGACTCATTGGAAGTACGTTGAACGAGGAAACGCGGAAAACTGCCCGGAAAACCGTGCGGAAAACTCGTGGCGACGAATGCCGCACGTCGCCGCGGTACGACTAGGACCGGGACCTAACCTCAACGAACCAACGGCCGGTCCAAGGTCACCGGCACCGAGCGTTTCGGAGGGGGCCCGGTCCCACGGCTCCCGGAGGGGGGTCATGAGGAATACGCTGTTTTTTTTTTGTTTTCTTTTTGTACTTACGTATAGTTATTACCGCGGCTAAAACGCACTGTTCGTCGATCTGCTCTTGTCTTGTCTCGTCTCGTGTCGTTTTACGTACCATCTTCCCGCCGCCGACAGCCTCCCCCCCCCTTCTCAATCGCCCCCCGTGCAGGACAACTTGGCTCGGGGGTGAGAGGGGGGAGGGGAGGGTTTGGTTGTTACGTGGAGCTCGCATCGCGATGTGATGGAATGGTATCTGCACGCAGGATCGTCATTGTCGATCGAGGATGCTCCGGTTCTGACTGGAGACTTTATAATACCGTACGAATAACCAGTAGACGGAAACCGAATGCAACTTTCAAGGGAAAAATTATCTGTTGATTTCGGGCAAAATTATTTGCACCTAAGTCCCCAGGGAATGAGCTCCTGAAAATCAGGGGAAATCACTAATAATTGGACGTATTTCTATCAAACGGACCTAAGCGCCATAGGGTGAGGAAGGTAGAGGGGGGCTTGGATTGGCGGCAGAATCGGGCGTCCGGCTTATTCCGTCCCATACTCGCAATGCTTTTCCTTGGCGCTTAGGTCCGTTTGACAGAACGCGCTATCCGGCATTCTAAATTCCTCAAAAAGAACTCAAATTGGCGCTTAGTTCCGTTTGATAGAAATACGTCCAATTCTAAGTAATAAGAAGCCATGGTCAATAATAATTATTCTAGACGTGGTGTCTAGGACCCGGGATTCATCTGGGAATGAAAAATCTACAAAAAAAACAAGGGTAGCTATTCCAGAAACCGGGAATTTCTCATTTTAAGTACTGCTTAGAGATGATTTTTTCTTTCTTCCAATTTTGCAAAAATTTTAAGCACCGATCGTTATAAAGGGTTATTTTCTTGCACCGTTGTTGCCATTATTGACTGATTCCTGACATTATTTCATAATTCCGCTTTCATTATTTTCTGACATATTTGAATCATCAAATCATCAAACGAATAGAAAAGCTTTTGACGACCAGATAATTTTCCCTTTTTTTCTCCAGTTCCGTTTAGCAGAAATACGTCCAATTCAAAGACAATTTTTTATAGGTTAAACAAGGTTTTTTAAGCATTTCTTTCTGTGCAGAAGTAATGGTGAATGATGATGGATTATTGGAATGATATATGATGATTTGTTATAGTAATGTGTTTTGTTGTATCTGTGCAGGAGGTGGCGGAACGAGGGTTGGGCTGGACTGGGGCCGGGGGGCCAGGTGAGCCATGGAGAAAGAGTCCGGCGACGCCTCCAAGTCGCCCGCCGACGCCGCCGCCGCTGCTGCCTGCCTCGCCAACGGTAAGTCAACTTTCGCACCACCCCCACCCCAAACACCACCCCCATCGTCACCCCATACCCATACATTCTCCCACGATCCAGGTCCCAACCGGGCAATCGGGATAACCAGAGGGAAGAAACCCTCCACTGGCCTCCTGGCGACAGGTGGAAACGTCTACTTTCGGGGATTCAACACTTCCTTATGGACAATCATAGACGCTATTAGTGCAACGTCACAGGAAAGCGATATTTATCGATTTTTTCGCATTGGTAGCATTGAAAGAGGTTATGCCAATGTTATTGTTTGGATCCAATTCGATGTAATGGAGAATCCCTATGATGACGTCGCCACTAATAGCGTCTATAGGGAGGCAACAGTCATCACCCTTTTTTTGGTTATTGACCTACCCACTATAGGGGGATGATGAGCTTCGGGTGACGTCATGAGTCAAACAAGTTTCCCAAACTTCAGTAGTTTGGAAAACGGAACTCCTAACACGTTGTTGCATTGACCTAGTAGGTAAGTCAACAGTCGAATGCTGGATTCCACCGTTGCCATGATATCAGTGGAGGGTCTCTTGTCTCTGGGGACAATCCACGGCTCAAATGCCCTGGGCAGGAGTGCAGGAAGTGCTCGATCGGCCGACCGGTCGATCTCGGAGCGAATGTGAAGGCACCTAAAAAGGGGTGAAAAAATGTGAAAGCCCCTGGAAAAAGGGGTTGGCGTAAACCAGCTAAGCGTATAGTTTTTTTGCGTAGGAAACTGTGTGACGCGCTCTCTTTATGCGAAGAAAATAGTTACGCGCTCTTTTATGGGAAGCAAAAAGTGAAGCGCGCAAGTCTTATGTGGACAGCAATGTGAAGGTAACCTCAAAAAACGCGGAGGCTGCCTCCAAAAATGTGAAGGCGAAGGAATTTCTGCACCCCTGGCCCAGGGTGACATAAAAACCTAAGAAATATATGAAAGAATGGAGATTTCAGTAGCGTGACATTTTCCGAACATATTTTTCAGACACCAGCGATGCTTTTTCTTTTGCAGCTTTTTTTTCAGTTTACATCGGTTACGGGTTTGAACCGCCCAGTCACAAGAAAAACAATTCTGTAGGTGAGTCAAATCGCGCAGTTAAAGGTATCGGCAGGCCTCTTAATCGATCAGTTTTCCTTTCCTGTTGTTCAAAAATCAAACAACTTGCTATAGCTGAGCCGAAGCGTCAAGATTTAGGTTGCCATATTTTCATATCACTGAGACTGTCACGGTAACGTTTCGTAATGCGATTCAACTCAAGTATACATTATAGTTTTTTCCATGAGTAGGAAGTTTGAAGCAATGTATTAAAAAATGATCTTGTTCAGGAGTTTATTTTAGTAATTCTCGTCGCGCGAATCGTGTTTTACGTGAAATTTTACGTAAGAATAATGTATCGGCATGCTTGAATTCGTACCTCGTCTATTAGCATACCACACTTATTGTGAGGAAAAAATTCAACGCTAAGTCGGAGTTTGAAAGTAATGGTAATAAATTACAAAATTTGCCATGTAGGTAGAATGTTTTTTTTTTTTTTTTGCTTTTAAATTTATTACAAATTTTAGGATTGAAAAAGCCAATGTTGCGCCACTTCTCCTACTAGCTGGTAACAACATGCATAGTCTTTAAAGCGGCTCACGTATATTTCGAACACATTAACATAATAATGCTTGGCAGATGTTGTATTATTGTTCGTCAAAGTGTATTTTCTAATTTAGACTAGATTGTCATATTTTAATTTATTTGTATTTGTATTATTTTGTAGCTGGAGCCTTGTTCAGTGGGTTGCAGCAGTATGACCCACGACTGCTTCACGCAGCCAGTTCAATGATGAGTGGTCAACGAATGGGTTCCTCTCACTCGCCTCTCAACGCGATGGGCCTCAACTCAGCTGCCAGTACGTTGTTCGCTTTCAGTTTCAGTCACACTCGATTTATTTTATTTCAGCATTGTCATGTCTTCACACAATATTAGTAAACTGTAGAAACTTTGCTTTTGTCAGTATATGAAGTCAGGGAAAAGTCAGAAAATGGAATATCGATAACCGAAGTGCGGAACCACGTATCTAAATTGCTGTGTTTAACAATTTCCGCGCCTCTTTGATTTTTCGAAGAGACTCAAGCGAACTTAATAACTCGGAATCGACACATTCTGCTGACCGAGAGGGAAAATTAAGGAGGTTTGCAGAAATTACGTTGACTAGTTTTCGAAAGAGAAATAAAAGATTTTAGGAAATCCGCAACGTTTCAAACGGAGATTCATCGTTTCGCAATTCTGTCATCGATATCTATCAAAGAAAGTTCATTAGAATCTGTGTTGCACCGGTTGTATTGTAGCACTTACGACCGCATTCTGTAGTCCAGGGTGTCTGCTAGTCCGGAATTTACAGAAAGCCCGGAAATGGTACTGATTTTTCAAGGGCAGTCCGGAAGTACTGAAAAAGTGCGGTAATTCCGCAAGGAGGTTCGGAATTTTTCCCCTCATACCATGCGTGTCCTTTGATGAAACCTGGAAAGTACTTATGCAATTCCCTGCTCATCAATTCTTAGAGTAGTATTTGCCTGCAAGATCGCGATTGTGCAGTCAGTTAATCTTGAAGCCACCAATGACATGTTTGGTCGACGTCATTTTTGTCGCAATTCAAGCGAGAATTTCAAATTTTCTAAATTTTTCGAATTTCGTCAAATGGAGGTACTAAAAAAGTATTGAATTTTTCTGTGAAGGTGGGAATTACTTGGGAATACACTGAAAAAGTACTGAGAGAGCACTGATTTTTGGCCAGCCTGTCTCAGTGAACACCCTGAAATTACTTTTATATATTTTTGAAAAATCCACAGGAAAAAAGCACTTATTCCGACACAATGAAAAAATTGCAAGTAGGTAAATTGATTTTTATCCCACGAGGTCAAAAACTCTTGCTAGTGTCACCCTGTTGAAATGTCTAACGTTTGCTCTGCGAGTGATAATTTTTTCACAGAATTCATCAATATTTCCCCGAAGTTTTGACTAGTAGTATAGGAAAGGTAACTTAAAGATACACAGTGTAACTTGCAAGGAGAGTGAAAAAAAAAAGAGTTATCAAGGTCCAAGAAATTGACAGCAAGATGGGAGAAGACTACGCTGGAATAGTTAGACCTGCGGTGGATATCCATGAAAAAAAAGGAAACAGCTCAGGATCTTTCATCGGAGGGTGGGAAGGGAGGAGGAGTTTTTAAGAGTGTATTTTTCACTTTAACATTTTATTTTTGTGTAATGAAACGAAGATTTGTAACGTAATCTGTTCTGTATTTCACAGGTGCCACCTGGTGGTCGATGGCTTCTCACCTTGCAGCCCAAGATTATTTGGCGCGGCTTCAAGCCTCTGGACTTTCCTTTCCTGGCATGGCGGGCGGTCCTGATGGCGTTCTTCCTCCTAGTTTTCCAATTTTATCACAGCAACATACGGGTAGGCGAAGTATGGAAATTTTTTTAATATTCTTTTTTACTTTTAATGTCAAATACCTGCACCCTTTGCCTGTGAATGATTCTTAGTAACGGAAGTTAACCCAGAAAAAAGAAGAAACAGCTGCACTGCAGATTTAATAAGCATACTTTATTTAAGGGTTGGATTCATTTTTTGGGGGAACTTAATACTTAGTAACTTTCTTTTACTTCACATAATTGGTAATGAGATCATATGCAGCCCTGAAAAATCAAAACCTGTTTTTCAAAAAAATTTTTCTTGCCTTAGGCCTTTTTCTAATCTTGCTGTATTGCCGATTACCAATACCAAGCTTTTCAGTGATCATATAGATCAGGAAACCTCCTGTTTTCTTGCTCATATTCATGCTTTCATCGACATTAGTATTGATTTAACACAAAAAGCCCTTCTACCAAGAACTATTCGGTGAAGAGGCTGAATCTTGAGATAGGAATTTAATTTTTTATCATTTCTCTGTGCTGTATAAACTTTAAAAAATTATAAATGTTTTTTTTTTTAAAAAATGAGCAGCTAGTTTCATTTAACATATGCCATCTAAATATTTTTCAGAGATTCAACCTGAAAACTTTGTAAATTTAAAGTCCGTATTCTAATTTCTCTAGAGCTGAATTGTCTTATCATAAGAATAGTGTTACTCAACTTTACTTACTGAGGTAACATGAGGTTTGATACTAGTTTTCATTTACAAACCCCTCCTCTAATGATATTCTATTGTTTTCTTCCAGGTTCCAGTGCAAAGTCAAAAATACCTGAAGCGCCCAATCGGGAATCTTTTGTTTTAAGGTAAGGAGCCGCTTAAGTATTGCGTGAACCGTTTTGGCCCCGCTGCCCCTCTTATACGACACCTGCAAGACAACTTCCCACCCCATCTTTTGAATTTTGTAAGGCGGGCCTGACTGTCCCAAATTTTTCCGAAAATAATGAAGAAAGTCCAACAATTATCTGAAAAAATTATTTCTTTTGGAAAATATTTTATTTTTCAAAAAAAGAAGACCTACGCTAGACAGTGCTTTAGCCCAACCTTCTTCCCTGTTAGACCCCAAAAGACAAGCTTAGATCCCTCCCCCCCCCCTCTAAGTAGCTCACTGAATTTATACTTCCTTGAACCCAAGGTTCGCATTTTTTTCCATGTTCTAAACAGGACTTAATTATTTTTTCTTTAGATCTGTATCATGAGCAATCATGTTCCAGGATAAAAAAGAACCCCTCTTCTCTGAAAGCCGCTTACCTTTACAATTTATTATGCATTGATCCCATTATCTTAATTTTTATGACGATTATTGTACCTGAGGAAAACATAGTTTGGAATTGAATTAATTATTTTTCCACTCATGACAAATGCTATAATAATTTCTGTCAGTTATGGCTCAAACGTTTTTGAATCCAACTGCAAAATTATTGTTCAAAAATGCCTAGTAGTTTCAATCCCAGCGTCCAGGAACTATGGGAAGTATTCGAAAAGAGGGAAGTTTGAATATGAATTAATGTACAATGTAAGGAGGAACTTTGTTTCTATGTTGTTTTTTGGCGTCACAAGGGGGTGAGAAGTGGAGGAGAGGCTCTTAAATGATCATGCCGAAGTGTGAAATTGCCATGCTGATGCAGTTTTTAGTCTAACTGGTGCATGTTAGTTTGTAGCATACATACTTTTGTCATTTTTACAGAGATTTGGATTCTGTTAGCATCCATGAAACTTCAGTATCAAACTTTAACTTTAGTTCAAAAAATTTAATTTTGACTCTAATTTTAATTTTTGGAATTTCTTGACTTAGTTTTCCCTGCGAAATGGTGTGGACCCAGCACCATTTCTCCACCTTGTCACATACAGTTTGGGCCACTTCTTAGTGTTTTTTTTTTTTTTTTTTTTTTTCATTTAGTATCAAATTTAACTTAGTATTTTCATAAAGAATTTTGTCAAATTATTTTTCAACCTTCAGTTTCAAGCTCGCTCTATTTTTTTAAACAATTTAGTTGATTTCTAATCTGTCATTGCTCTCTGTTTCAGTGAATCTGTTAGTTCTAGTATATTAGGCGGAGTCAGACTCCCGCCAGACACTGAAATAATTAAGTATACCTCATCAATAGTTGGTCCCAAAATCCCCGGGACAACGAATAGGGGCCGGAAAAAGACAATTTCATTAGACCCTCCCTCTGTGAGTTTATTAGCAACGCATGCTGCAACAGGCCTACCCATCGAACACTCTCCTACTGCTCTTCTGACGGTATGTAACCAGTTCCTCTTATTCTTAAACCAAGACCTTAAATGAGGGGCTTGGGGGACAAGGCGCATAAGTGCAGTTTTTGCTATTTTGAGAAATATTCATTTGGAATTTCAAAAGTATATGGATCCTTTATGGCAGAAAGAAAGTTCAAAGTGATTTTTTGATACTTAAAAATTGGAATTTGGGAGTGAATTTCTAACAGAATATGCATTAAGACTGGTTTTACTTGAAATCATTATTATCTCAATTTTTTTAAAAACTGCACTTATGCGCCTTTTCCTTCAAGCACTTCAAATGTAATGACTCGTCTATATTATGTAGTCTGCATCTCACCATTTTCAACCAAGTCAAGAGTTCTGAATTGATCGTAATGACACCATTGATAATTATTTATGATAAATGAGTCTCCTAAAAACTAATACTTTCAGAATTTCAAAACAGATGATCGAAAATAGAAACCACTTCAGAGGTCAGATTTGCATAATGGCCATTTTTCTTTCTTTCATCAAGTTAACACTATAATTCTACTCGTTGCACCAAATGAGTCTTATGAGTAATTTTGTTGAATTCTTAATTTTTAAGTTAAGATTGTGTGCACATCAATATTATCTTGTTCAGATTTGGCACAGAATATTTTGTAGAGTTAAAAGTTGGGCTTATGAGAAGATGATTTGCCGAAGGAGCTCTGGTAAGATTGCTATCAGTTGCGGTCAGGTGTCACAGAGCGCACAGAAGCGCTGTAAGAGCGACATGTTAGTTAGTTAGTAATTAAAAACTTTGGCTCTCGATGCTCACTTTTTTCCCTGTAGTTAGTTTTGTTCCCAATTAATGTACTCAGCCAACAGAGTACAAATACCTATTCTAATATGTAGTCAGAAAAAAGAAAGGGGAAAAATGATTTTACCATCGATCACAATAGAGTTGCAATGCACTGAGGCACCGATGAAAACACTGTTTGAGGCTGTTTTGTCCAGTAATACTGAGACTAGTATGTGGTGACTGGCCATGTCACATGTATAGGGTCCCAGATTTCGGGCTTTGCTCAGAAAATACAAATGTAAAATTTATTTCTTAAAAACCTGAAGTTTCATACATTTTTCCAATTTGTTATGTCTTTGGTCTACATAATTTACCAAAATTCGCGAAAATAATATCAATACTCATCATTGCATCCAGTCAATAGAAAATTTTAAATATTTTCTTGTTTTTGTTGCCGTTTCTTTAAACTGAAAGTTTTTAATTTTGCAGGATCGGAATATGATGAGCAACGGAGGATGCAGCTCAATGCAAGACTCAGATGCACCACTCAACCTCTCTCTAAAGCCAAATTCTTCTTCTTCCTCATCATCCTCTAATTCATCTTTTCCGAAATCATCCTCGCCTAACAACTTAGCGCCTTTAGACTTCAGCTCACATTCTTCCTCCTCATCTTCATCGAGAATTTGTAAGTTGATTTTAATTATATCCATTCTTGTAACGAAAATAATACCTACCTATCAGTACCATCGAATTTTGTAGTATCTGGTATACTGTTGTTTTAAAAGATAACAGTCTTATTTGGACGGATTGATTAAAGTCTGCCTAACTACATCAGATGTTGCTCAATTTTTCTCATGTTTTTTTTACCGGACTCCTGAGCCATATTCTGACTTTAAATTTTGGGAGAATTTCCCTTATACTTAAAGAAAATTTCAGAGAAAGTTTTAAATTTTTGAGTGTGTCAATGGCCTACTCCCGTGCAGGCTCTTGTTTTTGACCATGTTTTTAGATTCTTTTCTAAAATACAGGAATAATCAGCATTTTTTTTTCACTTCACGGAAGCAAATACATTGAAATGAAGCTCAAGGATAACTTTAACAATAGGCTAAGTGAGTAGTCTCTCATTTATAATTCTGGTAGTGTAATTTATGTGTTAAAAATGTTGTTAATTTGGGACATTTCTCTCCCAAAACTGAAAATTTTGTTCTACTTACTTTCATCGTAGTGTTTTATTTTTTTTCAGCTGAACTCTCTTTAAGTGGATCAATGTTTGTTTTTTTATGAATTTTACAAATCAGAAAGTGTGTTTCTCTTATTTTTGCAGCGAGGCGAAAGCCAGGGCCTAAACCAAGGCGACTGATGCCACCTGCACCTTCCTATCCTGTCCCACCATCTGACCCTTCTAGGTTGTCTCCATATTACGGTACTGATGATGAAAGTACACATCACAAAGTGAGTAACTTTTGCTCTCTCATAACTCAATTTTTTGCAATGTATCGATTGCTGAAGTCAAAACATGGGTATTTTTGATTCCGACAATGCAAATTTTCATTCATATCGAATTTTTTGTAGCTTGTTTTTCTGACATAATGGATAGATTAGAGTTGAAACTTTCAAGTTTATGATGGCTCTGCATTGCTTAGAGTCATGCCTTGGGAAAAATTCTAAGCATTCGATCCAAAGAAAAAATTAATTAAGATTACTTATGTGAATGAAGAAGTGATTTAGAAAAACCTTTTCATAGTTACTGTCACGTGTGAACCAAAAGAATTTCAATCCTGGGCTTCTTCCAAAAATGCATTCATCTTCAAAAGTATTGAATTTTAGCTGCAGGTGTCTCGAAAATTTATTTTTCCAATTTCAAGAAGTTTATTAATATCTCATCAAATTTCTTTACCGTCATTATCCTCTTACCTGTATTTAATTTTTTATTTTCTTTTTTTTTCAGGATGGACGACCACGTAATCTAGGACGAGGGATTTCCAAACCTAAGAAAAATACTGTAGCCTCTTTGCTGGCTCAAAGCCGAGCATTAGGACTAGCTGGTGATTTAGACCTCTCAAAGTATTCTTCATTGAAAGCAAATATTTTGCAACAACAACTAGAAGCGCTAACTGAAAGAGGTTTGTTGTTTTATCTACTTAACTGTACGATTTATTTTTCACCCTTTCAGTATTCAATTTCGCTTAAAAATGATTATTGGTTGGCAACGGAAAAGCCATCCCCTCCCTTTTATATAGAACCCTTCCGTAAAGCACCTGAGCTATTCCTATTGAATTCTCAGGCCGTCAAAGTGAAGGAAATCATTTTCACATTTCTTTTAAGGTACTAAATCTTGTTTTAAGTATCTTCAGATGGTGTTGATACAAATTTGTTTCTGTCAAAACTTGAGAGCCTCTGTTCTAAAGCGTTTACGTTGTCGAACTCTGAATTCAGCCAAGTTCCTGTGAAGTTGACTGGACCTGAAGGTAAGTCAAGGCTCAAGCTACAACTGGACTCAATGGCTGTTGACACAAGCTTTTCAATGACTGAAGTAGACTTTAAAAAAAGGAAATCAGCTTGAACAAAAAACTCAAATTCAGCTTGAACCCAAAAAACCAGGCATAGCGCTACCCTGCTCCCTACTTCTTAGCAAATTCTACGGAAAGTAGAAAGGAGATCTTGTACTGAGATTATAGTATACACATTATAAAACAATTGGCTTCTCTAATAATTTTTCTGTTTTTTTTTTATCAACAGCCAAAGCTGAAGAAAGGCACGAGAAGAAAACCTTATCTGTTCCTAACGTACCCAAAACCTCTGAAAGCAGTCACATTTTGAACTTCAGTTCTTCGCAGGTAAGCTATTCAAGCCATCAAAAGTACTAGTATTTCTAGGGATGATAGTTCACTAAATAGTTATGAAACATGCGTGTTAGTAGATTGCAATATGGGCAACTGGATAATTTTAGGCAGCTAAAAGTGGCTGCACTTACTTTCCCCAGATATTTTTAAAGGTCCAATGCATGGAATACCAAGAAATTCGCCGCAGGCTAAATTTCGATATTTTTCCAAAAGATATTACTTATGGCCTCTGGAGCTCAATGAGCCTTTAAATGAAACTTCCTATGGACCAATCTCAAAAGAATAAGGCTGAAAGGTGAATTTTTCAGCATTTCTACAAGCACTAACCAGTAGAAATTTTGTAACATCCTAATGGTGGTAGAGTTGATCTTTTGTTTGAAAGATTTACCAACTTATTTTCGCAACTAAGTTTTTTCGTGTTTATTTATTTACTTTTCTTTTTAAAATTAAACTTTAATGAGTCAGTTAAGCTCGGGAGGGATTTGCCTGCAAATAGTTGAATCTTACAATTTTTGGTACGAGAAGAACGATGCGCATGTTAAAATTTCACGAAAAATTGTCTCTGCGGAGATATAACGCTTCCTTTTTAGGGGTCCTCGAAAAAGTGTTTGAACCGACCGCCGTGAATCTTCGAACGATACGCGTCATAGACGGGAAGATGGCGGCGCCGGAGCCGACCTGCTTACTACCGCCACACTGCCGATGTTAACATCACGATTTCTCGTTTGAGGTTAAGTAAGTTCTATGTGAATGTTTCATATCCTACATACATCTGTATCGCATTCTGATTGAAAAGCTTAGAGAATTAAGAACTATGGATATGAATCTCAAACAAAGTAACCTACATAACCTCCAATTGACCAACAAAAACATACCGCCAACGCGACGCCGCCGTGTATTCTTCCACTACGCATTCCGCTGCCATATTGATCGTGACGTGTACATTAGAAACCTATGAGCAAGCAGTTCAAACGCCGTTTTAGGCCACTCTAATTTTTGGCACTTTCAAATAAACTTTTCTCCCGTTTGCAGTCATCAAAAAAATTTAGGAAAAAAACTGTAAGCTTCGGTCACTTACTACTTTCGAATGACACAATAAAAAAAAATGACTTAACTGACTCATTCAAAGGGAAATTTCTTCTGCTTTTGCTTCACTTCATTATTAGTGTAGCTTTATTCTAATCTGATTTGTTTAACTTTGCAGCACCTAGAAGGCACTGGACAGAGTGAAGAGAGTGGGAGCGCTGCAGACACAACAGATAGCTCTGCACCTGAAACTGACTACGAGCATCAAAATGGTAATTTGTTATTTTATTAGATTTCCAGCCAAGAAAACGTGTTTCCAAACCTTTCAAAGCTCTATATGTACTACTTTTTCGACCGGAAATAGAAGCTTGAAGTGTAATTGATCAAAGGAATGTTTCTCATTGGCCTGGCACTCATGACGTTATATGAGGTTATATGAGGTGATGAGCACTGTTTCAATCACCTATTTATACAACATGGCGGCTGTATTAGTTAAATCAGGATTGAAAGATTTTTTTTAATAACAACTACTTACAAAAATATTTTCTTTAAACGATCATAATATTGTGAGCAGGGTCAAGATAAAGAATCTCTTGTTTTATTCATGACCTGAATGACGTTGAACAAAAGTTGGTGAAGGATACATGTTGGTTTATTCTTTTGTGGCATCTTGAAAGCTGTTGGCTCAATATTTTTCTGTTAGTAACAGGGTTAGATTTTTTTAGTGACTTTTTTCTCAGTGGAAAATGTTATCAATTAAAAAATGGAAGAATTCTCATTTACTCATGAATGAGAAAATAAAAATTGTGCAGCAGCTGCCCTATGAAACACTTGTCCAAAGCTGTTTGTAGGTTTTGTCAGGTACAATTTTCTTGCACTTTTTCCCCAACTTTCAGGGAACGCAGTCTGTTGATTTTTGAAAGCTTATTTGTGATGTTTTTCTACAGGTGGAGCCAAAAGACGAAGAGTAGACTCTGAACTTCACATTCCTTTACAAAGAGGGTGGCGAAGGGATACTTTTATTAGTGCTTTCACATCCTCAGGTGACCTCAACGGAGATGTAGCCTATACGTCACCCTGCGAGACAACCTTTACCAGGATGCAAGAATTATTATTGGTGAGTTTAAGTTTCAGATACTTCAAAAAGCATTGTATATTTTTGGAGGATTCTTAAAACCTTCTCCCGACTATCTCTAAAAGAATTGATTCGGAAATCGGAAGGTGAAAAGTACAAGTGCTTCAATTTTGAAACCACTCAAATTTCTCAATATACAACTTATGAAATGAATTAAAAAAATCCATTCGCTTCTAAAATGCCTCATCTCACAAGGATTGTGACAAATGTGTGGCAAATCTTGGGTGGTAAGAAAATGTTCAAAATGGGCTTTTTTTGCTTACCGCCTGAAAAAATAAAGGAAGTGAATTGTAAATTTTTCTGTAAAATCAAGTATTCAGCCCTTAAAGCGGACAGTTTTCTTTGAGAAGAACAGGAAATTTGGCTGATAGCAACCAACCGCTGGCGCTTGGAACTTTCTGGGGATCTGTCCTGAGATTGGCTTTTAGATAAGGATGTAACACCCATCTCAGCCCAGTCACTTATAAACAAAACATTCACCCTGAGGGAATACTAAGTCCCTCAATAAAGTGTGCTAAATGCAATTTTTCTTTCAGTATTATTCCACAAAATGTAAGATTTCATTCAAGCTTAGACCGTAGGAGTGCAGAAACTTTTGCTTAGGCCAAAGAATGGACAGGTAGTAAACATTGGAAAGGTTAGCTTGCAATAGTGCAAGAATTGCAATGACTTATGCATTTTATTTTTGCAAAATCATGGCATTTTGTGAGTAATGGACAAAGAAAAAATTTTAAGACGTGAAACTACAGGGGAAAAGGGGTTCTCAAATTGGAAAGGCCAGTTTCGACTTGTGGGCTGGCCACACACCTCCTGAACCTCAGTTGAGCTTCTTCTTAAACTTTTTTTTTTATTTTTGAATACTTGCTTATCTGAAATGTGTTTAATTATTTCATTTTTCAATTGTTCTTCTTTTTCAGTACTTAAAAGAGAAAAACATAACCGACTTAAATGCTAGCAATTTTTCGTTCAATCCTCGTGCACTGGTTGGTGAGTTTCATCAGGCAGATGTCAATGGAGGGTTCCTCAAGCTCTCTAAGCAAGATATCAAAAATAAAATAGCTGCTTTAAAAGCAATGTCCACCAAGCCTCCAATAGAACAAAGGTACGATTGTCTCTCATTCTCTTTCAACTACATCACTCAGTCTTGCGTTTTTCATTTTACTGGTATCCTTTTGTCTGCTGTCTTTTTACTTATCAACCATCATCCAAAAAATTACCCTTGTTCTATGCATATCTTAACCCTCTATGGCATTAATTAATTTTGGATCTCAGGCTCCAGGGGACACAAATCTATTTTGCTCCTTGCTTAAAAAAATAGAGTACCAAATATTTTTTTCAAAATTTTGAAGTTTAGGTAATCAATTTTTCAAAAAAAGGAAAAACCAATGAAATTTAGCAAAATTATGGCACAAAGGAAAGATTCAATTTTAAAAACCCTGAAAATACGTTGTTACAAATTCGTAACGCTTGCCATAGAGGGTTGAATAAAAATTCACCACAAAGCATCTATTTACTATTTGGAGAACCCCATAAGAAAGTATGTCTTCTTCATGGAGTTTTATCTCATTTTGTGTCTCATTCTATGGAACACCTGAAGGCACTACTTCTAGATGGCTGAGCTCATTGTTAGAATTGCAAAAGAAAGTAGATGAATCAACTTTTCAGTTTCCATTCTTGTATTTCATACACTAAAAATTAATCAATTTTTTTTCTCTAGGATTGAGGCAGAACCAGTATCAGCCAAACTCCCATCTGAGACCTCAGCCATCGCAATGTTGAAAAGCATGAAATTACCAACTGATAGAAAAAGAGATTCAAACAGTATGAAGGAACCAACACCATCCGTTTCCCTCTCCGTCTCTGTTACGCCATCTCCTGTGTCCACTGCTTCAACAACAGTCGTACCACCTGTTTCCGTAACCATGACAACCTCCGGCTCCTCGTCTCCGGGACTGAGCCCCGCTGAAAAGCAAAAGAAGAAAGAAAAACGTGAGCAGCAGTTCATGGAGATGTACATCCATGAATTGAACAAACAAAGAGAAATGTTGTACACTGTTGAGGTGGAAAGAGAGCGAAGGAGGCAGCATATGGCTCTAGTGAAAGCTTTGGAAATAAGGAAACGCTATGAAGAGCGGGAAAAGAAACGGCTGGAAGTTCAAGCTGAGAAAATAGCGTCCCGCGAAAAGAGGATTGAAGAAAGGCGGCTTGAAATTGGCTTGCTGTATCAGATCAGGAAACCTACTGAAGATATGGAAATTACAGATTCAAAACCATTGCCTACCCTAGAACGCATTCCTGGTCTGCAATTGAGTGGCCAAACTTTTGGAGAACTTCTCATGGTCCATGAATTCCTGAATAACTTCGGTGAAACACTCGGGTTTGGTGAGTACCAGAATCCTCATATCATAATTATTATTCTCTCTAGACCGTAATATTTTTATATTTTTTCAAGACTCTGAGTGCTAGAGGTCTTTTGTTCTTATGTACACCGTTCTGTTTTCTGTACTTCTTTTTCTTTCCCTTAAAAAGAGGTTATGAAGTCAACTGATTCGGGTTAAAAATGAAGAAATTGCCCAAAAAAAAATGATAAAATGGGAACGAACAACAGGTTTGCATATTTCCACAAAAAATTATTTTTTTCCAGGGGGAAACTCTCAAAGTCCTGACAATGGACAATTGTCAAAAGTAGCAAACACGATTGACTGAGTCATTAAATGTCAAGACTAGGTAGGCAGTAGATATGGAGTTTAAAAAAAAGATACCTCAGTTTATCGTTGAAAAAAGGAAATCTACCCTACTTCAAATATCTTTGAAAAGTAGGAATTATGTTTCTTTCCAGTCTTTTTCCTAGTTAAATCAAAGTGTGAAGAAATTGGCGAGTTTCTTCCCATGAGCAGGGTTTGAAATGAATTATATTTTATCCTTAATTTAAGCAAGGGATTCAGATTTTACGTCAATCTTTTATCAAAATACTTCTCTGTATTCTAGACATGGAAAGCTTACCAACACTTAGCAGTCTTCAGTTAGCCTTACTGGGAGACGAAGAAGCAGAAGAAGAACTTCTATCAGTTATGACCCACCTCATTATCTGTGCCATCGAAGATCCTGGCATTCCCAACCCAGCCAGGCATACTACTTTGCTGGGTCAGTCTTTGAAACAAGCCGACATTACGCACCACAACATCAGCGAAATCCTCCGAGTGTATCTTTATGCCAATGCGACCGGTGAAGTTAAATGTCTAACAGGTTCGTTATTCATTTATTAATTAAGCTACATTATTGTATTATAATCTTCTTTTGGACCAATCCCCTCAAAAATAATGCCACACCTCTGCCGAATATATTTTTTTGAAACTGTTTTTCAAATTTTGTTTCCTAAAATCAGGTGCTTGTAAAGAAATCTGTTTTGTGTGGTGTATTAAATGCTTTGAAATTTCTCGGAAGTATTTTTCAGTTATATAACTTATCAGTGACAAAAAGAATTCCTACTTAAAACTAGTCACATATTCATTTCTTTATCTCTCCAGCACAAAAAACGCATTTCCATTTAGTTTTCTCGGTATTTCTCTCTTACTCTTTTTATAGTTAACTGTCTCATAAATTTGCATTGAATTTCCAGTGATTTTTCTTATTCTTGTAAGTAAAGACAAACACGAGGTTAAAAATGTTAGAATTTTCTATTTTAATTTCTATAATCCAAATTGCCCCATAAGAAAGTGAAATTAACTACTTCACTGATTAAATTGAGTTGTCTGTAAATCCTCATTAATATTTCTTATTTTCATTTTCTTCCAGGGGTTTGTTTCGAAAGAGAAAGAGAGAAGAGGGTCTCAGATCACTTGAACAACCTAGAGGACACTAATGGATCGCAGTACTCAGCCAGTAAAAATGCAGCATTTTTCGAAGCCCTGTACGAAAATCCAACATTCAAAATGTCCGAGTGGCTGAAAACAAAATCGTTTGTAGCGCTAAGTCCGGATCAGAAAGCACAGATTCTGGCCTGTCTTTGCCATGAGTTGCTCCAAAACAAAGCAGTCAACAAGCAGATAGATAATTCAATGGAAGAAGTAGCGCAGCACAAGAGAGATCGATGGGCAACGGACACCAAAATTCGAAAGTAAGAATTTTCCCTCTATACTGATAAGTAGCAAAAATTGAAGATGCTCTCATGTTTTTTGCTGATGCTGACTTTTTCTTTCTATTCGTGAACTGAATAATTTTAAGAAACTGCCTAGAACAAGAACTTTGTTAAATATTGTGGATCCCAAATAAGAACTTGTACCCATCAGGATTGAAGATATTTGACTGCACGTAAAAAAAAAAAACAAGAAAGTCAAATGGTCAGTATGATGTAATGCATGATTTCTTTACAAGGTCTTTAGGTTTTTTGGCCTCATACAGCCAACATGAGAGCAAAAGTAGAAGCATAAACATTGACTCCAAAGTAAGTACAGCACAACTATAAGAGGCCTTGGTCTTAGCGTTGTGGAAATTATTGTGTGTAGTGTGCAAGTACTGAATATCTACTTATCAAAATAAAAATATATTCAGATAATAAATTTAAATTCACATTTGGTGTCTAGTGACTGGGAAAGTCTGGAAGATGAAATTGGGCAGGAAAAAGTTGGAGAGAGAAAACGGGTAGCAGGAACGTCATGAACTCCAGTGTGAGATTGTTGTCGTTTTGTGCATAGTGACAGATGCTACAGCGTTCTCTCCTATTTTGCCGTGAAGTTTTCAAGCCCCTACTATCTTGTACTGGTACTTTTCGCTGAGCTATGTTTATTTTTGTGGTCCTTTCGATTTAAAAAAAAGGTCATGGTAAATCCAAGGGTCATTAAAACCTAGAAAGCCAGGGGAAAAGGGGGAAAAAATGTTGCTAGACACCCACTTGGAGAGAGAAGGTGAAATATGTAAATAATGAACGTTAAAAAAATGTCTATCAAAGAAAATAATTTAAATTAGTCAAATAACTAAATAACTATCAAATAATCCAATAAATTAAAATGCAACAATTTCTGTTGATTCATTTACAAACAAAGGAATAATTTTCTCAACCTTTTCTCGGAAATTGCTTTGATATTAGATTTAATCTCTTTGCTGGGGTAGAATGTGACTAATTCTCAATTCGTAAAACTTTTTCAGATTGAAGCAAGCTATTGGTCGAAAACTTCGTGCTGGCACCATGTTACCTGGGCCAGAGACGCCTGGAACTGAGCCAGCCGCGGATGATGAAGAAGAAGAAGAAGAAGCTGCTGACAGTGATGTTGGCAGCGAAGGCACTCAACCTGAAGAGGTATGTTTTAAAGTTGCTGCTGCAATTTTAGAAAATGTATTTACTTTTAATAAGGTAAACTCAGTAAACAAGGGAAATTATTTAGGATGTCTGCTAGTCCAAAAACAGCACTGATTTTTCAAGGGTGGTCCAGAAGTACTGAAAAAGTGCGGAAATTCTGCAAAAAGGTCAGGAATGTTTCCCCTCATACCACACATGTCTCTTAATAAAGCCTGGAAAGTATGCAATCCCCTTTGCATTGATTCCTAGAGAAGTATTTGCATGCAAGATTGTGATTGTGCAGTCCGTTAATCTACGAGCTACCAACGAATTTTTGTGTCTACGTCCTTTTTGTCGCAATTTAATCAAGAATTCCAAATTTTTGCAAGTTGTCGAATCTCGTTGAATGAGGGTACTGAAAAAGCTCTAAAGTTTTCTGATAAGAAGTTACAAATTTCTCAGGAATGTACTTAAAAAATACTGCAAGAGCACTGATTTTTGGTCAGCCTGGTTTAGTAGACACCCTGATATTGTTTTTACGTTTGTATCATGTGCCCATCAGGCGTAAAGTCGATTAAAAGTTAAAAGCTGCATTTTTTAAATGTTTTTGAGTGAAAAAGCAAAGATGTAGAGGATCTTAAGGGAACATGCAAGGAATGAGAGTTGTGTTAAAGAGACCTCGGTACAAACATTTCAATTGAAGCAAAAACAAATCAGCTCTCACTTACTTTCTGCCTTTGATTCCATAAAAAAATTGATGTGAAGGGGGGTCAATGGGTGTTGGGGCAAACCCTAAATTTACTCAAATTAGAACCTGCCAGCACTTTGATACTAGTAACTTTTTCAGAAACTTTTGAATGAACTGTATTGTCCACAGGAGGAAGACAAGAAACTCTCAGTTGATGAACTAAATCGGAAACTAGAAAAATTAATCAAGCAGTCTGAACAAAATATGCAGTCATTGAGTGAAGCAGCCGGCCAACTTCGTGCCACGTGTTTTGGTGAGGACCGATACTACAGAAGGTATTGGACTCTCCCAGCTGCTGGCGGAATTTACGTCGAAGCAATGGAGTCTGCTGAACCTGAAATTTATCAACAAATGGTACCTGCTTATTTTCTTAGTTCTTGTGTAATTTTGAGGGCTCTGCAATTCTGTCTTGTACAAGGTCGTTCGTAAATGATTTAGGAAGACCTCAATGTTTTATGAAGTTTATTTTAGTTTTCCAAAAAGTCCAAAGTTCTAGGGCCTAGCTCACCACCAGATGTGTCAAACGTTGGGAAAAAAAAATTACCCTTAATTTGTAGGTATGTACGTTTTAATTCTTGGGTTGAAGAAAAAATCTACCCTAGTCACCCACTTGAACCTGTATTTTTGTGATAGAATGGGGGAAATCACATGGGGAATGAATTCAGGAATGTTATCTTCTTATTTTCTTTTCAGCAATTTTCAGTACATTCAGTCCAATAGCATAATGTTTAAAGAGGTTAATAGACCATCAAAGAATAAAATTAAGTTTAAAATTAAGAGCAGTTTAATTAACAGACGCTTTTTGAACGTAAACAGGAGAGGAATACAATTATTTACCGCCCAATGTACAAATTAGGATAACATTTGTCCAGACAATGACTCAAATTCAAGATTCTTGAATTGAACTTATCAATAGAGAAACATTTTCAAATATTGGATGACCTCTTGATTATTATTCATCCTTGATGATAACATTGAACAAAATGCAGACCTTGCTTGGGAAAGAAACGTGAAAATTTTTTCCCCCATTTTTACAATTTGCACGTAGTTTTCTAAAATTAATCCCTCCTCATCAAGGTCACATTACCATTGCTCTCAAATTTTGAGAAGCTGTGTAATAAAATTGTTGGCATTAAGAAGTGAGCTTTAATTACAATTTACTCTGATTTTTTGGGGCATGTCCATGGCTATGTTTGATTTTCGGGCAGAAGTTCAAGACTCTCGAATTCCAGTCTATCTCGTAAAAATAATTTATTTTTGTTTCATTTGCCATTGCAGAAGGAACTAGAAAAAGAGGAAGAAACCACCATTCCTGAAAATGATGCCGAAGATTCTCAAGACACGTCAGAGCCTCCACAACCAATACTAGAAAAAGTTAACGACCTGAAAGACGAAAAATCAGAGGAGTCATCGGCTGCCAATGAGAATGATGACATGGAGCCACCAGTATTGGTCAAGGAAGAAGATGTAGTCGTGAAACCAGAGTGCGACTCGGAAATCCCACCTCTAGTCAACTGTGCCGACCCGGACGCTCTCAAGTTGGAGGTGAAGACGGAAGTTGAACAATCGGAGACCACTATCAAGGAGGAAACGAAAGCTGAGCCAATGGAAACAGACTCAACAGAGGTCAAACAAGAGGAGAAAATGGAAGTGGATGAGGTGAAGGAGGAAGTTAAAGAGGAAGTAAAAGAGGAAGTAAAGGAGGAAGTAAAGGAGGAAGTGAAAGAAGAGGTGAAGGTGGAGTCTGATAGCAAAAGCGATGTTGAGAAAGCAGAGGATAAGCTAGAGACTCTATCTAACAGTTCTTTTTCAAGTTCTGCAACAGATCAAGCTCAAGTAAGTGCAAATGTCTTTTTCAAGCATGGTCCTAGAGCCAAATTTAGTCAGTACTTTTGCATCTGATTTTAGTGCGTGTCGCTGAGTTCAAACCCAAGTATCAGCTAATTAAAAGTGCTTGAGTCAGGTGCGCACTTGTCCCAAGTACATTAAATTAAGCCTGTTTTTCCTATCCTAACAAATCGTTACTTTTTACACAAGCTCACTTATTTTGCACTACTTACTATTTTTACCAGCCTAATTTATAGGGAAGTGCAAAGATTCCCATTGGAACTGGTCCGGGTCTTGGGAGGCCCTGGTTGGGAATTTGAGGGGTAGCAAAAAATACAAATTCCCCCTGACCACAATTCTTTTTTTCAAATCGACGTTAGAGCCCAATCCTAGAGGGTTTTTGTGGACCACTCCGTGAAGCGCAGCATTGTAGGTGCGAAAATAAGAAAATTGACAATTGACGGACATTTTTATGAGCCGCCAGGCCTGTTTTGACCGGGTTGATAAAGCTTGAGCTAAGCAAGCCTCTATTATGGTATTTTTAGAACAGGATTTCTTTTCCATTAAGAGGTCAAAAAAATCTGAAAGAATTCCTAGAGGCTTATTGTTTGTTCCTTCCATACTTTCTGAAAAAAAATTTAAAAAAATGGTGCCACCAACTCATTGTTGGCGGCTTTTAAATATTATGATTATAAAGACTAATTATCTCTGCAGTTTCTGATACCTATCCCAACATTTTTTTTTTTTTTTTAACTGTTCATAACTCTAAAGTATACGACCTATCAATGTTTCGAAAAATGTTCGGCTCGAAAACAAGTCAGGGAATTGAGGTTTATATCCGTCAGCTTATAATGTTCTAATAACTGCTGTTCTAAGTTTTGTCTTCTTTTTGTTGCAGAGTAATCAAACTACTGTAGAAACACCATCAGATTTTGGATGGTTTACAATAATGCCCAAAGAACCCTGTGATCTTTCTTCTGTGACGACATCATCGCCCGGTCTCAGGTATAATGAAATTTCCGTTTCTACCACTGCACCTTCCGTTTGCCTGTACACCTTTGTTACACCTTTTGATAAAGATTCAAGGAAGACAGTTGTAGTAAAATTTCATGTTAAAAATTTTCTTGTAAGTAATGATTTTAACAGACTGCAGAAGTCCAAAGTAAGCATATTTCCAACATTAAATTTGCAGTTAAGATGGGAGAAGGAGGAATGGAAAAAAAAAAAGAATATTGAATTTAGCAGTAGGAGGAAGTAACTTATAATATCAGGATGTAATTTTTCCATGTATATCTTTATTAATCTAACGTTCATACTGAATTTGTACTTGAAATACATGAACCTATAAACCTCTTGTGTTATCATCCCTAGTAGTTGTGCATCTAGACTTAATGTATTCAATTTTGTTGATAGGTATGGAGAAGGTTGTACAGAGTTGCGCATTCCAGTTTTCCCACCTCCTGCTTCATCGCCAGGTCCCCCAGACTCACCAACGCCTCTGATGTTGACGCCAGACGAAGCTGCTCAGCTAGCCTACATGAAAGAACATGGTGCTCCCAAGAAGTCGGTCCGAAAATCTATACCTAAAGGTACCTTCAGTCTCTTTTCTGTACAGCTTTGTTTGGTTATAATGAAATTAATGAAAGTCATTTTTAGTCTCCGTTCTTGTAGGAAAAAGCAGCTTCACATAGTCAGTCGATGGTTATCTTCCCTGAAGTTGGCTTTAAGCTTTGCTAATTTGTTTCTATCTTCTATAACTAGTAAGTGTCAGGCTAATTGAACTGAACACTCAGAATTATAACATGTTTTCAGGTTGGTAACATGTTGTTAGGTTTGCTTCAGGAGACAACGTTAATTTTTTAAAGCTATTCTGTTTTCCTCATAGCGTTTTTCAATACCGTATAATTCCACTTCTTCTAAAACGTTGTAACAAGACATTTCTGCAGTAAATATTGACCAACTCTTTATAAGTTGAGAGTAGAAATTAAAAGAAGAACAAGAAGAGTGTTTTATTTTAACATACAACCCTTTTATTATTCCTGTTTTTGCATTATTTTTTGCAGAATACCAAGAAGGTTGGTGGAGAATATCTGATGTGAAACAACTGTCAGAGTTGGTGCAATGTCTCCATCCACGTGGCATTCGCGAAAGGGAACTGAAACGATTTATAACTTGGCCAAGTATAGACCAAGCATGGGATACAACTCTAAAGGTACCCAATCATCCATTTTCAATGAAATGATTTTTACAGAGCAGTCTGTTTTGATGCTCAACACTGTTATAATGTTGGGACCCTTCTATAAAGCACCTAAGGTTTTCCATATGAATTTTCAGGCTATCTAAATGGAGGACAGAATATAATATTTCTTTTGCGGCTTTTAATCTCTTTTTAAAAGTCTTCAGATGGTGTTGATACATGTTACTCCAAAGTTATATTTGCGTAGGACCCGCAGGCAGCAGTGTGGCTTTGTTCAAAATCTAGGTCATTGTGAAGAATTACCCCTGACGCAACCAGCAAGATAATGATCACTATGACTAGACTCGACTATATAGAAGTTAATATTTTTGATGTATCATGTTGAACCTCAATGATCCGGTTTCTCTGAAGTTGCGCTGTGTGAACTGAGCTGACGTTTTTCAGAGGGCTGTCCACCCTATGTTTCCTAAAGGCAACTCTTTTCTATTTAATTCCTTTTGGTTCTAAAATCTATTAAATTTGCATTTTTTGTTCCAGTCATGTAATAAATTAGCCAATGGACTAGCGAAACTGAGCGATGACATTGCTGCAGACGAAGCGACGCGATGTGAAGACATTGCCCTCCGAGTAGACCTGGGTGTGCTCCAACAGGTTGAGATCCTTGAAGAGAAAGTAGCCAGCTCAAGCATGCAGGTGAAAGGCTGGAAATGCCCTAATCGGGTCAGTGGCGATGGCCGCAACTGGGCCCCAGCGTACTTAGCTAAAGACCCTGAGTTCAACCCTGTCGCACAAGCAAAAGAAAGACTTGCTTCGGTGGAGTCGGCTATTGAACGAAGGTATCTGAAGCCGCCATTAGGTGTCAGCACTGGCGAAGTGAACCATCTGCAGAACTTACAGGAAACGCTCTCGCCCACAGACTTTGACAATATCCCAAAAGGACTTGTTACATGGCGGGAGGCAGTGCAAAAAGCACAAACAGCAGCTCAAGTCTCAATGGCGCTACACATGCTCGAGGCATCGATCGCGTGGGATAGAAGCATCATGAAAGCGAATTGTCAATTTTGTCACAGCGGCGACTGTGAGGATAAATTGCTGCTGTGCGATGGCTGTGATAAAGGCTATCATACCTATTGCTTCAAGCCTAAAATGGAGAAAATACCTGAGGGTGATTGGTGAGTTGAGTGTTATCTTTTTCCTAATTTAAAACGAAAATTTAGGGTATTGAACGTAAATTCATGAGTAAAGTTACTGGAAATACATGTTAGTAATACTACCAAATCACTTGTCGCTCACCAAAAATTAGTACAGAACAGAACGTAAATCATACTGTAACTATGGTACTCGAGCGCTAAGAAGTTGTTTTGCACTGGCCAGACTCCCTGTTTTCAGGATGTAATCAGATGACCGGACTGGTTTCTCTTGAAACCCTTATATCTCCTATTCAGATGACAACAAAGGTAAAATGTTGCCAAGTTGTTTTAGCGCTTCTGACAGTAGGTAGTTTTAGAAGTCAATTTTGGTGAGCAAAAATTTCAGTCAGAATCCTTAGGGGTTAATGCGATTCTCCCTTTTCAAAACTTTATTACGTTTTTAATTTTTAATTGAATGAGCCAATCTTGGTCTTATAAGGAAGCCCATTTTGCTTCCTCTCAATCGAAACAAAGACCAAGTTTCTACCTAGCTTAGTTTCAAAGTTAGAGCATTTGTATCACTATTGTTTGAACAGCCTTTGTATATAGTGATGAATCTCCTCATCAAGCCTCTAAGCTCCGAAGACTTTGGTTTTTAGTTTCGTATATTCAACTTGCAAATTTGCTACCTCATATCTAGATCCTTAATTTAACCTAAGGCACAATAAAGGTTCCATGAGTGTTAATGAATTTTTAAAATGTTTTCAGGTTCTGTTTTGAGTGTTTAAATAAAGCAACTGGTGAAAGAAATTGTATAGTTTGTGGTAAGAAGTTCGGACGGAACTTAATTTTCTGTGATCAGTGTCCTCGGGCATACCATAGTGACTGCTTGCAGCCACCTTTAGTGAAGGTAACTTAATTTTCTCAGTATGATTTTCCTATCTCTTAATTTTTATTTGCCAAAACTGTCCATATCGTAAGTTCTGCAATGTTTATTTTATAGTTTTAGCTCATTATCACTCTTTTTTTCCATTATGAACGAAGCAAGAACATTTTTTGCCGATAGGATCTTCTCAATGAAAAAAATGGCATTGAAAAAGGAAAAAAGCTTTGATTAGCATACTTTTCAGTCGTTCAAAACTGTCAAAATAGGAAAGAAGTGGTCTTTGCTTTCATTAAGGCTCTTGCAAATAATTCTAATGACTTCACTTCACTCTCTTTTTAATTCAATGGTGTTTATAAAGAAAGATGTAGCTGCCAAAAATTGAGAAATAAAGTTTTTGACCGAACACTATTTTTTAAGGGTGGGCGCATCTTAGTACCGAGTGTTTCTACCAAAATAGTTCTTCCAACCAGGCAATCTAAGCTCATGCGCATTCAGTCAAAATGTAAACACTTTCGGAATGCAGATGTGATATTAGCTTCACTGATTTAGCGCAGAACTTCGAAGGATGATCTCAAACCTTTAGTTTTTACAGCATGTCAACTGCAAATGAAGATACAAAGGGTAATTAATTTTTTTTGTGTGTGACAGATTCCTCGTAGCAAATGGTCTTGTTTTAATTGTCAATCAAAATCGCCAAAAAAACGCAGTATCCGTAAGTCTAATACTACTAGTACTCCTGTAACTCCTGCGGCCATCTCCAACGGTCGTCCCAGCACTGATACTCCTCCAAAAGCAGCGACGCCAATCAGTGTCCCAGTCACGCCTTCAGAAGGAAGTGTAGAAGAGCAGCCCCCATGTAAGAAACCAGTTGAGGAGCCTGACACTGTAGCATCACCTGAGCAAAATTCGGAACCTGTGCAAGCCCCGAGGTAAGTTTCGTGTAATTTATTAAACTCAACCTAACCTGTGGAATTAGTTTGTTGCCCTGATTCTAACAGTCGCAGCTTTACTGCTATATTTTTAAGGACTTTTGCAAGAAGTGTAAAAAAATTGTTCTCCATGTAGTTTTATCATTTATGGATGTAGTAATTAACAGAAATCAGCGTGCTGAACTTTAGAACTATTTCCTGCTGTGTCTAATATTTTTTTCGTGTTGGCTTTAGTTTCCAAAATCAGCCTCCAGGGTCGTGAAGATCAACAGTGTGAAATTGTTGTTTCTTGCTGTAATAATAAAAATATCCCACTGTTTGTGCAATTAACTACATACTCTCAAAAAATTTGCAAGAATTTTTGACAATACTTGAATTTATCTTTTTCTAGCCTGCTTAAATGGATGCATTTCGACAAATGACTCAATTTTTTTCCTTTAATTTACTCTCCGATTCTGAAGACTGTTAGATAACCACATACTCAAGATCAATCCACACAGGCCAGTCACTGCGCATCTTTTTGAAAGCCACTTTCCTGGCCCTAACTCGGCGGCACTCAATGCTACGTCACAATGGGTGCTCCCATAAGAAATACATTGCAGGCTCTCAATAATGCGTCACTGCGCAGTAGAGTACCAAAACTCGTCCTCGGGAATGACTGACCTGTGTAGATTGGTCTTGCACATACTAAACTTAGTCTAGGACTTTGTTAATACCATTTTTTTATTTTTTGTATTACAGTGTAGAAGATAATAAGCCGAACAAAAAGGTTTTAAAAGAACTAGCAGCTTGCAAGCAATTGCTGGAAGAAATGGAAGCTCACGATGAAGCATGGCCGTTCCTTCTTCCAGTGAACACAAAGCAATTCCCTACTTATAAGAAAGTGATTAAATCACCAATGGATCTCAGTTATATAAAGAAGAAGCTTCAGGAATCAGGGTAGCGTATTATTTTGTATTTTAAATATTCTTAATTTACTGTCGGTNTTCAATTAGCATACTTTCCAGTCATTCAAAACTGTTAAAATAGGAAAGTACTGGTCTTTGCTTTCATTAAGGCACTTGCAAATAATTCTAATGACTTCACTTCACTCTTTTTTTAATTGAATGGTGTTTATAAAGAAAGGCGTAGCTGCCAAAAATTCAGAATTTTAAGTTTTTGACAGTACATTATTTTTTAAGGGTGGGCGTACCCTAGTAGTGAGTGTTTTCACTAAAATAGTTCTTCCAACCAGGCAATGTAAGCTCATGCGCATTCAGTCAAAATGTAAACACATTCGGAATGTAGATGTGATATTGGCTTCACTGATTTAGTGCAGAACTTCCAAGGATTATTTCAAACCTTTAGTTTTTACAGCATGTCAACTGCAAATGAAGATACAAAGGGTAATTAATTTTTTTTGTGTGCGACAGATTCCTCGTAGCAAATGGTCTTGTTTTAATTGTCAATCAAAATCGCCAAAAAAACGCAGTATCCGTAAGTCTAATACTACTAGTACTCCTGTAACTCCTGCGGCCATCTCCAATGGTCGTCCCAGCACTGATACTCCTCCAAAAGCAGCGACGCCGATTAGTGTCCCAGTCACGCCTTCAGAAGGAAGTGTAGAAGAGCAGCCCCCATGTAAGAAACCGGTTGAGGAGCCCGACACTGTAGCATCACCTGAGCAAAATTCGGAACCTGTGCAAGCCCCCAGGTAAGTTTGGTGTAATTTATTGAACTCAACCTAACCTGTGGAATCAGTTTGTTGCCCCGATTCTGACTAACAGCCGCAGCTTTACTGCTGTTTTGTACAAGAAGTGTAAAAAATTGTTCTCCGTGTAGTTTTATCATTTATGGATGTAGTAATTAACAGAAGTCAGCGTGCCGAGCTTGAAAACTATTTCCTGCTGTTTCAAATATCTTTTCGTATTGGTATTAGTTTCCAAAATTAACCTCCAGGGTTGTGAAGATCATCAGTGTGAAATTGTTGTTCCTCACCATATAAAAGACAAAATCTCACCGTTTGTGCAATCAACTACATACTCTCAAAAATTTGCAAGAATTTTTGACAATACTTGAATTTATCTTTTTCTAGCCTGCTTAGCCCTTTCCGGTCCAATGTCGGATATATTCGCCGTGAAAAATAACGCGTTTAGGTCCGATGTCGGATATAGTCGCCCAAAAGTTTGAACTTCTGTGCAGGCCCGATATCGGGTATATTCGACTGCTCCAGCAAGTGGCGGCCTCTGGTGGAGCCTTTGGAAACCACTGTCTTTGTTGACAACATCGCTGCTACCTTAACCTCACTTAACGACGGCCGTGGAAAACTGCCGCGGACCGGAAAGGGTTAAATGGATGCATTTCGACAAATTAATCAATTATTTTTCTTTAATTTGCTCTTCTGTTCTGCAGACTGTTAGATAACCACGTACTAAACTTAGTCTAGGACTTAGTTAATACCATTCCTTTATTTTTTGTTTTACAGTGTAGAAGATAATAAGCCGAACAAAAAGGTTTTAAAAGAACTAGCAGCTTGCAAGCAATTGCTGGAAGAAATGGAAGCTCACGATGAAGCATGGCCGTTCCTTCTTCCAGTGAACACAAAGCAATTCCCTACTTATAAGAAAGTGATTAAATCACCAATGGATCTCAGTTATATAAAGAAGAAGCTTCAGGAATCAGGGTAGCGTATTATTTTGTATTTTAAATATTCTTAATTTACTGTCGGTATGACCGTTTGTGGGGTAAAAGATAATGTTTAGAGGTAAAAGAGGGATGTGGTCAATGGCCAAAACCAGCCCTGACACAGGGCTGAAATCAGCCCTACTCTGAATCTTTGTAATCTCAGCATTTATTGACCTTAGATTGTCTATATTTAAAAAATTTAATTTTTTTAGCCGGTCATTGAAACCCTCTAGTGAAATTTGTTGCCAAAATTATAGGTCTGCAAGGCAGAAATGACCATTTTTCATGGCTTTGTTGTTACAATGCATGTTGTTGCTCTATCAGAGTGAAAGTTAGTATCAGGCTGCACTTTGAACATGTTTTTTTGCAGCATAAAAGTGGTCAATCAACGAAAAAATGTAATTAGCAGGACTAGTGTCGCATCAAATAGCATATCTCTTTGTGAAAACATCATGATCAAATTGTCATCTTTCGCACGAAACAACATACGTTAGTTGTTTTGTTTCGGTGTTTCTCACTAACATACATGTAATTTTATAAAGGAAAACTGTTTCATGAATTTACTCGGAATTCCATATGATTTTTCCTTCTTCTTGTGAGAAATGACACTATAATTTTCAGACATATTCATGTGCTCGTTCTCCCATGAAAAAATAAAAAGCTCCTGGAAATACTGAAACAGCATAGGTGAGGTATATTTTTTTGCGCAGGAGATGATGGAAGTGCTTTTTCTGCTCTATTCTGAGAAAGCTCTGTTTTCAAAGCTATTCAAGTTCCTCATCTAAGATTTTTAGATACCAGTGTAGGAAGAATAAAGGGGTCAGTTAATTTAACTGTGTACTTGGGTTTGTTGCTTCTGGGACAAGAAAAATAATAGAGTCCTTTGTTGCCAATCTCATATGTGGAAGTCAACTGAATTCTTTGAATGTGTTCATAATTTGTTCTGTATGATTCTAGGTACAAATCAAAGACAGAGTTTTGCAACGATGTTCGTTTAATATTCAACAACTGCGAGACTTTTAACGAAGACGACAGTCCTGTGGGCAAAGCAGGGCATGGAATGCGCATGTTCTTCGAGAGCCGCTGGGCAGAAATCTGCAATCCAAAATCCTCATAAAGAGTAAGTATCAGATTAAATGATAATCATAAGAGATACATGAAATGAACTTTTTCAGGATTGTGATCGAATGAATTTAAGTTCCTAAATTTAGTTCTGCTTGCAACGTATGACACAGGGGTGCTGAAAGTGCTGGATCGGCTGATTGTGAGAGAAATTGATTCAGTCGTCTAATCAAAATTGTTTAAAAATTGATTAAAATTGTAGGATGTATATTTTTACAGATATTTCTTTCTTACAAGAGCAATGAATTATTTTCTAAAATTAGAAAAGAATCAGAATTTCAATCTAAGTAACTCTATTTGACTATTTTTGCCTAGGCATTTGACAAAATGCCTGATTTAACTATTTGCCTGGGATATATGAGGACTTATACGCAACAATAGCGAGTTTTCGCATTGTGAGAAAATCGCATTTGAAGTTTTTGAAACTTTGCACTTTGCCGCCTGAAGAGCTGAGAGGATTCTTATAAAGATTTCCATGAAGAGCAACTCTTCCTGTTAAAAACATGCGTTTTAAGATTTATGTAAGTGAAAAATTGAAGGAGTAACAGCGATTTGAAAAAATGTGACACCCACTATTTTTACTGAGAACACTTTCTTATGCATGAAACGAAGTCTTCAGGAAGGATAAGGCTGGTGAAACGATTGAACTGAACCAAAAGTAAGTCAATGCTGAGTTATTTAATAAAATTGAACAAAAAATGAAACCGTTTGTAACTTCTACAACAAAAATAAGGAACAAATTTTAATATCAGTTAAAAAATCAACAATTATGGTGAGACGGTCCCGATACGTATCATTTTAGTGTCAGCAATAGCCAATGGCCGGTGCGCGGGCAGTTATCGCAAGTGCGTTCGAATCTCCACGCCTTTTGTTCTCAGGCATTTTGTCCTGCCGTTCCGGCCGGGGAGAATAGTGGATTCTCATATCCGCTGTTTTAACAAATAACATGGTTTTCAGTTCATATCTTGCGGAAAAATTGTGCTGGAAGTCTGAAACTTTACACTGGCATTCGCAAGGGCTCCGGAATGCGAAAAAAGCTATTTCCCTAAAAATGGTGGATGTCATGGACCGCTGTTGTTACCTATAAATTCTCATATACACACCTTACCCAGTGGCCTATTCAGTAGAACTGCCTTATCGGTATTAAAATATTTGCATTTAAAGTTGTTCCAACAAAATTTAGTATTTGTTTTATTTCTTCTTTCCAGTGTGTGACTATTCTATTCTGAGGTGTTGTTTATGTAACTTCCAAATCAATCTGAAGCATTACATCGGTAACGGATAAGTGAAGAAACTGATCATATTCTCCTCTTTATTGTAACTGATCCTTTCCTTCCGATGAAGTATTTTATCGGTTTTTGTATGTGTGCAGGTTAGTGCTCTTGTAAATTATTACTGTACTTACTACTTTAGACTTGCTGTTTGTTACTTTTAAAGGAGTCAGTTAGACAAAAATGTTTACTTTTAGTCTTCAAATTCTCTCTGTTTGTTCTCTTTGCCAGTTTTGTCAACTTAGGAAGGGATTTTTCCTTATTGCTAGAGCAATGAAATCACTTAGAATATTATTTCTTGGTCTACTTGCTAGGCACCTTAACAATGTAACTGAAATCAGTCAAAATTTGAGCTGCTAATTTGCTCTGAATGCTTCGTATACCTATTATCACTTTGTCAGTTTGTTTGACTCCCAACTTTAAATGAACGACTACAGTCAAATTTTAAAGTCGCTTTGACAGCATAATTCTGATCCGATCAATATCAGAAATTTTTTCTTTGATCCACAATTCATTAAATCAAATGGAGCTCTGCGTGTTTTTATTTGAATTATTATTTATTTTTGTTTTTTCATTGCTCTTTTGTCCGAAGACAAGTTTTGAATTTAAATTTTCTGATTTTGTTTCCGATTACACTCTTCCATAATATTCACTGTTCAGCGCAAGCGTCAAAAGATAAGGGGAAGGCTACTAATTATTTTTTATCTCATAACACCCATTTTTATTTTTTTCCTCTCCAAGTTCAGTGTACACAATTCTATTATCTTTTTTCATGTTCCATATTTTTCAATTTTGGACCTCTTCTGCACAACTTTATCTCAGGTTAAGGAGGAAAAACTATGTTTTTTTTTTGTTTGCTTAATGTCATAAATATATCTGCATCACAAAGATGAAATTTGATGCGCACAAAAAGTCTCACAACTGAAACGAATTTATGTTCAACAACGCTAACTCAGATATGTGCTTCTCCGTTCAGTGATATAAGAAAAAAAAGGTGAACATCAATAAGCATCACTATTGAACAGATGTAAACCACTGCCATACTTGTAACAGGGCGTCATTTCTCAGGCAAATCCTTGAATTCTAGTACTTAGCATATCTTACGGATCACATTTACTCAGTAGGTGGTTTCGGCAGAACGCAAGGAAGACTCTAAAGTCACCAAAATTAGTATAATTGCTCCCCACGTATACTTCTAATTTGAGAATCAAAGGTTTAACCAGAGCAGGAAACTGAAAATAGCATATTTTCTTAAATATTTCAAATTCAAGAAAAATGGCTTATTTTAAGTAAATTAGTACCTTTTTTTTTAGTTCTCAAAATGGTTTTATTATTTTTCTAATGTTATCTCAGCTGAGTGTACAGCAGAAGTTCCTATTTGCGCCTCCATTCTCTGAAAAGCCTAGCAACTTGTATAGGAACTTGAAGTCTCTTTAAATACCAATAGGAAAAGCAGAAAGCGTAAAAGTATTGGTATAAAATTCCTAAAAGAAATGCTCCTTCAGGTGAACGAGAAAATTCTTTCCTATCTGTTCAGGCTCAAACTTATAGTTTTTATAGGTTCTGCCCTCTACTCTGTTTAATAATCCTCACAAAGTCATATCCAGGAATTAAAGTTTTTGAAGCAAGTAGGCTTTAGCTGAGAATCAGTAATTTTTTCCTGGTATTTCTGAGGCACTTTTCTGATTGATCTTACCCATACCGAATTTTACATGTACAAGCTTTGGTAACTTATCTTGATTACCAACACAAACTCTCTATCTCTCAAATTCCTCATGCCTGTGTTGCACGGTTTTGCTTTTTTTTATCATAGGTTTTTTTTCTTCCTTTTCCCCTTAGGCTATCTGCAGCGTGATGGTTGAAATTTTGTGTTTGTCGACCGGACGAAACGAGTCTGAGAAGGAATGAAGTTATGTGATAGGTCAGCTTTGTCACTCATCCTCTTTATCGTGCCCATTTCGGACAGCATTGATGAGAAGCTAAAGTTTCCTCTTCAGTTTCCAATACTTTATTGTCAGATCCCATCGATATTGGCGTGATAAAGAGGACTGATGAATTAGATCAATCACAAAACTTTATTCCAAAACTTACAAAATTTCAACAATCAGGCTTCAGGTTGGTTTCAGATGTCATCCAGATATTATCTACTTAATATGTTTTCCTTTTATTAGTAAGAGGATCAACTGATAATTGATTGTTGACAATTGTTATTATGACTAATCTGCCGTAACAGGCAGAAAAATTAGCATTTCCATCCTCTCATTCAGTTTTTGGAATCACTTGCGTTTTCTTCGCCTAGGCCATCTAAGAACTGATTTTACCGACTCATCTTGCCTCCTTGATTTGGTGTATTAATTCTATGCTATTGAGTTCTCACTATGAAACCAAGATAAGCACTAAAGAACCAACTGAAATTTTTTTAACAAATTGTGTCAGGATTTACTTAAATTGCAAGGTAGCAGATGGGAATTGTGTTTTTGATCCTGTCATGCATTAAGCCCAAAATTGAATCCGGCAAACTAGCATCTTGGGGAGGACTGAAATTTTAGGCTTCTCTTTTCTGTGATGAACCCAGTGTGGGTTGACCTCTTTTTTTGTAAACCATGGTTTCCCATTCTTGGGGACATTAAAGACAGAAAGCTCTCATAAAAAATGCAATTACTTGTGTAAGTTCCGCCCAAAAATTCCATCTATTAAAAAGTAAAACATATTATCTGCGGAGGAACTCGGAGATGGAATTGTTAATTTTTTATTCCTGTCAATTTTTACGATTGTTCCCTTTTCCTTTTCTTACTTTATTTTATTGTACCGTTGCTATATTTTTTATTTGATTGATTTGTTAACCTAGTACCTCTTAGTTCAATTGGAGTATACTACAGACATACATAAATGGTTTGACCCACTGACATGAAGCTTTATTATCCGTGATTTTCCATTTTTATCTTTATTTAGCTTTAATATTCCCTTTTTTAGTGATGTATTGATCAAACCTGCTCATCAAACAGGATCAAGCAGACTTTTTCTTGTTTGTGTAATTTCGGCAGTATCCTAGTATCTTTAAAACTGCTGTTCAAGTTCCTTTGATTGTTTAAGGAATGGTCTTGACAAAGCTCAGAATTAGGCGGTTATTCTCATTTGTACGCTATAGCCGTTCCTCTTTGGTAGCCTAATAGAATTTTTAGTTTTATCTGAAAGATATCTCGCAAGCTAATGGAAAAGAAAAATTGAATGCAATCTGTTATCACAGGTTTAAACATATTCTTGCCCAAAGTGAAAATGGAAAACAGTTATATGAATCTGTAGAAACAGTGAGCTTTTTGGTGAATTTCTGTCTCAATGATTTTTATGTTTACTCTGACGGAATAGCAATCATTTTCTAAAAATATTAAATTAAAAAAAAAAATAAATAAATAAAAATAACATGGGCTTCATCATGTTTTTGATCCTGTTGAAGTATATTTATCAATGTCACAAAAATAAATAAAATGGGTCAAGTAACAAAAATATAGTTGAAGAGTTTGGATATTGAAATCGAATTTAACCCTGTTACAGAAAGAATTTTGGTTTTATTTTCTTTTTACGAACGAGACTAATTTTTGTATTTGTAAAGGCATCAAGACTGGAAAGTCATGAAATGTTTTCATAGCTGCCATTGAAAAATTCAATGGAGTTTCTATTCCTATTTCTGCTGGAATGGAAGGAACATGTTAAATACCATGAGATAACTTTTCTTCAGAGTAATGCAGATTGTTCACACCTGCCTGACTTTTTGTCACTTCGCTGATATATCAAGATCTCCAACACCAGAGCTAAAAATAAGGTTGAAAATCTCCAGAAAAGTATTCCTAGAAAATATTTCAAAACAAAAAAGACAGTCGGCTCAGCACTATCACTCTGAAATATTGTTTCTCCTCCTATTTATTTATCTTAGTCAAATCAAGTTTAGGACTTCAATTCTGGTGTTTTAAAGTCTGATATAGCCATCAGATTTTGAAAAGACAGGCAACCTCAACTCGAAAAGGGTAAAGTATTTTTTGAAGAAAGTTCATTTAATGAAGCACTTAAACCGTGTTTTTAAAATCTTTTGCTCTCTTACGTCAGCTTTAACTAAAACTCTCTTGCACGTTATTTAATTAATTATGAATTATCAAGGCACCGTTGTAAACACTATGAAAACTGTCACAAGTTTCAGGAAGAAACTCAGAAGTTTCTTCTCATTTTGACTTGTAATTGCTTTTTGCTGAAGGATTGTCAAAGATCTAGATGCTTGGCAGAGAACCCAATTAATTACCCAAGCTGCATGTCTAAGATTTCATATATTATCCATAAGTAGAGGATAATTCTAAAAACTGCTTTTGTATTCTGAAAGTCCTAAATTTTTAATCAAGATCACAGATCTCAAGTATAAGTCTAATATCAACTTCCGTTTTCTCCTCATTGTCTCTTAAAATTTGGGAATTCCCCTTCAAAATTTATCTAGATTCACCCTCCCTGTACGAACAATGTTTTTACCGTAATAGTTGCAGCATTTAGCCTGACCCCAAGAAAATAGGACGATTTCAATCAAAATAGTTTTAAGAACTGTGTCAAAAGTTGTAACTGCTATGCTTTGAGTAAAGTTCCACTTCTGTTGAAGTCTCAGAACCTTAAGGCATTTTTTCCGTTGCTAATTATCGAAATTTTGTCCCAATTACTCCTCTTATTTGTTCTTGTCGGTGCCACAATTGCAAGTGCCAAGGATCAAGACTTAACCCTTGCATGATGTGTAAATTGCTTTAGTTTGGGGTATTTTCAAGTTTGTATTTATTATTTTGTACGTTGTGCCGGTATTTTTGTAAAGATTTCAAATCTAATTTATTTAATTTATTATTTTTTTGTTTGTATTAATTTAAATATAGGGTCCCGAGGTAAAACTTGAGGGGCAATTGAACATAAATTATCTGGGCCATTCATTTTCGAGGAGTCCCTTTGGCACATTAGCAATTCAATTATAACAGCAACTCATCATCTAGTACTTTTCTTAAGTGTCTTTTCACTAATTTCAATTTGAGAAGTGCTCCAGTTTATATCTGCTCCTATGAATAAATTTACTGGTACAGGTATATATTCTATGTTGCTACTATAATAATACACCCTGAAAATTTTTAGAAAGCGGACGCGTAAGAGATCTGAATTCAAACAGGCCCAGATTGTTGGTTCATAGTTGTAGTCATTTTTTCATCAGAACTGATCTAAAATCTTTTGAAGTGATAATGTCTACAATTGATAAATTTAGAGTGAAATTTTTCTGCAGTATTCCACTATTACCCCTCTGCTCTTTTTGCTCCTAACTTTCTTCTGTACGTTATTTTGAGCATATGATAATGTATTGTGATCACTATAATTTTGTATTGATTTTGTAAATAGTTGCTTTCTTTTTTATCTCATCACTATTTTCTGAGTGAGATTTTTAGAACAAATCGGCAGTCTATTGTGCTGAAATTCTTTGTCTTAATGGAGCAATTGTGATAAAACAGGAGTTGAATTTGTTTTGTGAGCCCCACACATAAGATATGTGTTTATTAATTTCGCAGGTGAAATCATTTTGGCTTTTGAGTAAATTTCTTAAAGTTCTCAAATTTAGGATAGATTACTGTGTAAGTGAAAGTACGCAAATTATTTCCCTCGCAAGAAATGTCTCTCCCACTAACCCCTTCCTGATTCTTTTCTTGCTTTCTGTTTCCTCATCTACAAGTTTTTCCTCTCGGCAAAGTTAATATATTTGTAATGTGCTCCCTACTCCTTTATATCTTTTCGGTGTGTTGCCTTTAATTCCCTTATTTTTTGAATAAAATAGCCGAACTTGAAAACTCCTTACTCGATCAATAAAATAGTGGGCAAAGACGGATGACAAGGAAATTTTAGCCCTTTCTCTTGTTGAAAATTGTATTCCAGGTTCGCTAAAGCATTACTTTGGTGAAGGTAGATTTTTTATTTTTTATTTTTTATTGTTTTTTTTGTGAGAGGCTTGAAGAGCAGATGACAAGACATTGTTAATCATGGAATCAGAAAAAAGAAAATATTTTTTTATGTCCTAAATGCAGATGTGTGGATTTTTTTTTATGTGTTTTAAATTTTTGGGACCTTCTTCTTTTCATTAAAATTTCATTAGCCCTTCATCAAGGGAAGACTAGTACAGTTTCTTCAAATATACGGATAAACCCCTTCCATCAAGTGTTAGTATCTTTTCCCCTAAACTATTGCGCCCTTTAGACATTGAGCAATCACAAAGTATGTCCCTTCTGTTCATTAGAACAGGGTATGTGGCTAAGTTAATTTTTCTCTTTCATTCATTAGGTAACAGGCTTTAATTATTTTATTTTCTCTTCATTCAGTTTGCACCGCTGCCAGATCTAGTCATAATTACAAAAGAGTATTTTTTCAATGTCTTTTCATTTCTATTCTATTAAGTTTGTATCAGTCAACTGCTTATTTTTATCAAAAGAGTCACTTCATTTCTGTTCAACAATCCTTTTACTCCCATGGAAATAGAAAGACATTTTTCGAATCCTTAAGCGGTAGATTTGACCCATAGAAATCACAAATTTATGAGTTTTCATGATACTTCCTTCTAAAATTTTTATTTGTCTGTAAAAATTGAAGGTAGCCCAAAAAAAAATTTTGCTTACTCCAACTCAACATTTATTTAAAGGCCCGGGTAATGAAGAAAGTTACAGATTTTATTTTAATTCTAAAGTGCAGCATAGGCGGATCCATGGGGGGCGTAAGGGCTATACACTCCCCCCCCCCTCTTTGCCCAAGAAAGGAGGGAGATAAAGGGAAGAAAGAAAGAAAGAAGGAAGGAATGGAGAAAGGAAGAGGGAAGGACATTTACATTTGGAATTTATTCCCGACAAAATTGACGCAAACTGCAGATTAGGTGCTTTAAAATTTCAAAAATTTTCAGAATTCCACACTATGAAAACCAAAGATAGAGCTGCCAAGTGAACCTGTGAACATTTTGAATACATGATTCCGAGATGTCCTTACTCTGCTAGTAAAGCAGCTCTAGTTACCATTGCTGGTCACTTTTATTGTGTGAATTATAAAGCTAACCTGGAAAGATATAATCCAACCTCAAATGGTGGTAATAAAGTGAATCTCAGATATTTAGCAGTTCCTCTTATTTCTAACTTCAGTCATAGTTTAATAAAATGACAATTTATTGGATTGCATCTTTTTTAAAGGCTTATTAATACATTTGAAGTAGAGTGTTCAAATGACTAGGTATTCTTCAATTCCCTTCCCCCATTCCCACAGGACAGATTTATGTGTACAAGTTAATGCAGCAAATAAGTAGAACATCTACCTAGCCCTCAGGGAAAGGTTCAAAAATGCATCTATGTTTGAGTAATTCTTAATGAATGGCATCTTTATTTTATATATTTTCATTAAATAAAATGGTACAAATGAAGGTAAATTCTTCATTAAAGAAACTGATTCTTGAAATCTTTTTGCAGGTTTTTTTTCTCCTCTTTTTTCTTCTTTTTTTTGGGGGGGGGGGGGTTCCTTAGTGCCGTTTTCTTTAGAGCCTCTATTTATTGGTCCAATGAAAAGCAATAACTTCTGTGCTGAGGTCTGATTTCCCCCAAATTTCTCATGTTTGGCTATTCTCAGTCGCAAAAGAATCTCACGTAGCATTTCATTTGCTTTTCACGTGCCTTCAAAAATGTAGGGAATTAAAGGAAAATACCCCCGGAGTGAAAGTTTGATGTAAATTTTTGTACTTGCTTTCAAAAAGTTCCGGCTTTGATAAATTGGTTTCCAACATTTTAATATTATTCCTTTATCCTGTCTGTTTTTTTTTGTTTTATTGCTATTAGTAGTCCTTCCCTTGTTCTCATTATTTCGTAACTTCCCTGTTCCTCTAAACTCGTGGGTTCTCAAAGACAGTCTTCTCAGCCTTCTTATCAAAACAGGCCTGGCACCCTAGCTTATCAGTTCTCTGAAAATCTTGTATTTCTGTGTTGTCACTGAAGGAAGAGGAGTTTAAACAAAGGTTTTCACTCTAACTTCTCTCACTTGCATGCAAAAAATCTTTGTTCTAGAGTGATATTTTTTGCTTTTACTTCACTCTACTGGGCAAAAAAGTAAACTTACTACTGGATTCTGTGAGAGAATAACCTCCAACAGCCAATTTTTAATTCCTCAGTCCTTCAGTGTTGGAAGCCTTGTCACTGAAGTTGCCCACAGCCAAACACACCTGTGAATTATTTTTATACATAAATATTTCAATAGTGTTGTAAATTTCTGTAATACGTGTGAATGTTTCATCCAAATTAATTTTAAGCCAGTGGTATATTTAATAATGTCAGTATTGTTTATACTTAAGAATTAATAAAAACACTTTTAAAAGTATACAGTTTCATGGTTTTTTTTTTGTCATTAAATATTTTTTTTTGCTTGATTTACATTTTTCTCTGTAAAAATTTTGAAATACAACAAAGTGTCATTCATACTTGAAGAATCCGTCCTTCAGGAATGGTATACATAATGCGATTTTGAAAAAAGATAGTTTAAATTGACCGATTTCTTCCTCAAAGAAATCATTTAATCGTTCACTTTATGGATAGTAAGTTAATTAATTCTCAATTTATAGTACTCTCAGAAATTACAAACAAAAATCAAATGACTCTTGCTGATTCATGACCTTCAGAACACCAAAAAAATTTTTGATTTCGGGACATAGCTGCAGGGACGGATTTACCTGCTTACCGCCCATGAGCCACCTGTATTTTGCCGCCCTCCTCTCGTTCATTTTGAAACATCAATAAAAACCATCAAGTGAACGTGCTGAAGAGGGAGAGGTACACAAGACGCGTTTACTCGTGTCGGACAAAGTTTTTGCGAAAGCCGTGTCAACACTACCAGCAAAAGTTCAAGGAACTTTGCGCGAGAATTAGATTCCGTAAACCTATCTCTGTGTGAACAAGGCCTTCCATTAGTAAGAAATGAACGTAAAAAATTATGCAAGAACAAACATAAATGTGGTTTAATAATTTCAACTTCCGCCACCACGCCGCGCTGACCGCACTGTGTTTGGCGCAATGCGTGAAGTATTCCTACAGTCTTGTAGGCGTTATGCGTTTTACGCCGCGCCGACCGCTGCTGACCGCACTGTGTTTGACGCAATGCGTGAAGTATTCATGCAGCCTTGTAGGCGCTATGCGTTTCGCGCTGACCACACTGTATTTGACGCAATGCGTGAAGTATTCATGCCGTCTGGTAGGCACTGATATGTGTTACATGCCAACCACCAAACAAGTGGTTAGAAATGGAAACAAAATAATATGAACTATGGAAAACGATTATTCCGATAACGGAACTTGGCTGTTTTGAAAACGCCTTCAAATGCGGCGTTATGCCTCACGCATTCCGGAGAGTTCAAATAGTTGTATCATTGCGCCGTAAGAATGTGACGGAAGATTTAAATGTAAATAGCCTTCATAGAGGACTAAACTCATTGGACTTTATCCCACCTAAAGTAGCAAGCCACCTAAAAATTTTGATTCCCGCAGGAACAGCAATAATTATAGTAGTTGAAGTAAAATAAGCCCGAGTATCGACGTCTATTCCAACGGTAAATATGTGATGACCTCAAACAATAAAACCTAACATATCTTCTAAGTCTATAGCTTTGTCTATTAATTTCAATAATCAGCCCGCGGTGGATTTGCTCATGGGATGCGTCAATTTTGCATCTGTTGAGCTCTCGGGTAAGACGGCAGCGTTGCGATGGTTGCAACGGGGCCTCGCGCGGCCGGCGAGAGGGTATTTGAATAGGAGCGCGGACAGGGAGTCAGGGAGTCCGTAAACGGCGACGGGGAGATTATATTGACCCGATAATATAGTTTAATAACAAATTGTGTTCACTTGTCACGCCGATGCGCGATGCCGAGCCCCGTGGGCTCCCGGGCCACCCACCGTTGCGAAGTCATCGGGCAAACGCACTCCTCGGCTACCCAACCGAGCGCTGACTTAAATTCAGGGGCCGAAATTTGTCGGTTCCTCCACTGTACTTAATGGAAAAAATGCATTCACTGAAAAAAAAAAAGATTGGGTCTAGAGTCCAGACTCTTGAAAACATTGACAAGAAAAAATACTCTTGATTTAATCAGATTTAAGCTTAAATCAAAAGGAAATCCGTTCAAATTAAGAGGCTTTGGTTCTTGATTGAAGCAAAAATCCGATTGAATCAAGTAAATTTTCTGTCGCGGTTTGTGCGACAGGGGATAGGCTTTGCGCATGGACTCACGATGGAAAGGTGAAGAAATACAACACTAAAAGATATGCCTCTTCAAAATTGCTGCCAGGGCATAAAATGTTCAAAAAGTCCAAAATCAACCGATTTGTGCACTGGAAAAAAAATCACATTGGATCTAGAGTCCAGACTCTTGAAAACATTGACAAGAAAAAATACTCTTGATTCAATCAGATGTAAGCTTAAATCAAAAGGAAATCCGCTCCAATTAAGAGGCTTGGTTCTTAATTTTAGCTAGATTCTGATTGAATCAAGAGTACTTTTTCTTGTCGATGTTTTTAAGAGCCTGGACTCTAGATCAACTGTGTTTTTTCCCAGCGTTGCTGATTTAATAATTAAATTGTTAAAAAATTGTGTCGGCTCTTTCACACGGAGATGCAGTATCCATCGATGAGTCCGAACTGCACCGCCGGCCAATCAGAAGCGCTAAGCCGGACTTGAGAGCAGTCGAGACTCGTCCAAAGTATATTTAACACGGACAAAAAATGAAATTGCTGATGTAACAATTTTGTAGTTAAGGAAGTGTCCGACATGTTTCAAATGTATACATTTTACAATAGTGGAAAGCTAATTTAACCACAGGGGAGGCTAAATTAGCATATTGTATTGTAAAATCTACGTTGAAACATATCGGACACTTTTATAACTACAAAATTGTTAAATCACCAATTTCGTTTTTTTTCTGTGTGAAATATACTGGGACGAGTCTCGACTACTCTCAAGTCCGGCTTAGCGCTTCTGATTGGCCGATGGTGCAATTCGGACTCATCGATGGATGCTGCATCTCCGTGTGGGAGAGCCGACAAAATTCGGCCCAGGGCAACACCAACTAACCAGGGTGTCTGTCAAAAACCCGAGGAATACCACGGTTCATCGAAGAACGAAATAACTCAGAGAAAACTGACGCACTAAGAGTGCGCCTTCAATATCAGGTGATGCATCTATTCAGGCACGTAGAATTCAGCACACATCCCGTGTGAATATCGCAAATCGGATGGCACACAATTAGTAGTGTTCACCCGGGACTTACTTTAAGGGGCTATTTTTAGGTATACCTCGGTTTAATTTTGTGTATAAATACTGGACGTACTACATCATGATTTGATGCTCGGAAATTTTTAACCCTTGTCCTATGCGGCATCCAGCAATTATCAATTGATCGAGCGACTATCAATCAGTCGAATCGCTCTCGCAAGTGCCAAGTGCTGAGGATCCACCCTAAAAGAAGTTTCGCTAAGTTTTGGAGCCTTTGAAGAGAAGAAGAAGAAATAAGAGAAAAAAGAGGGATGGTTGTAACTTGGCAACAATAAAACGCGTGGTCGGTGTGTCTTTTGGAGCGAGCCGATTCTGCCTATTTGCTAGTTATTAATGTTTAGCGATGTTACCTCAATGGGACATCCCGATTCGCGGGCCGACTTATTTCGCAGACGCGGCGCGGCCCCCTATTTCATTTTATCAAATTGGACAAGGCAGGGGGTTACCTAAGGGGGGTACCTATGTCATATGAACATCCCGGAGCCCGCGCCCGAGCTCGCCCATTCTCGCGTCTCGCCCCTCCTCCATCATGAACGCCGTTGCCTCCAGATTGGACTTATATCTCGAAAACTCCTACATTCCAGGGACCCTGAGTTTATTGAAACTTGCTCAAATGAACGTTCAGGTCCAGTGCCTTAGCAAGTTAATTTCAGGACGCGCCGCTTACGACCGGCCGCGGGAGTACATTCTTTAAAAGCCCCCTCTTTTTCTTATTCTCTCCCTCTTTTTCTCTTTTTATTCTTATCTTCCCGATTTCTCTCTTTTTTTCTTTCTTTTCTTCTTTTTTCTCTTTTTCCTCTCTTTCCTATTTTTCCTATTTTTCCTATTTTTCCTATTTTTCCTATTTTTCCTATTTTTCCTATTTTTCCTACTTTTCCTATTTTTCCTCTTTCCCCCTTTTTCACTTTTTCCTCTTTCCCCTCTTTTCCCTCTTTTCCCTCTTTTTTCTCTTTTTCTCCTTTTTTTCTCTTTTTTCTTCTTTCTGCTTCTTCTTCTTTTTTCTCTCTTTCTTCTTTTTCTCTCTTTTTCTCTTTTTTTTCTCTTTTTGCCTTCTTGTTTTCCCTCTTTTTTCTAATTTCCTTCTCTCTTCACTCTTTTTTCTGTTTCTCTTCTTTTTTCCTTTCCTTTTTTTTCCTCTATTTTTCCACTCTTTGTCCCCGCTTTTATTCTTTTTACCCTCTTCTTTCTCTTCTTTTTTCTTCTCTTTTTTCTCCCATTTTTTCTTTTTTTCTATCTTTCTGCTTCTTCTTTTCTCTCTTTTCCTTTCTTTTTTTCCTCTTCTTTTTTCTTTTTCTAAAAGCTCCCGCAAATACTTGCCGGGCCGTATTCATTGTCCTTCCTTAAGCATCTCCTTCCTTAAGGAAGGCCCCGTAGCCATAGCCAAAGTGGAAAACTCATCAGTATCTTTGTTTGAGACGCTGCAGACCTCCTGTCACGCTTTTTTTTCTCTTCCGGTTTCTGGTGAAAGTAATTCCTTGAACATTTCCTTGATTTTCCACCCTGTTAGCAGAATGTTCGAAGATACAACGATACAACTATCCGTGGTTGGTGGATGTGCATATTGAATTTGAAAAATTCAAGGCGCGATGGCGTAAGTCGTGAGGCGACACCTCAATGGCAGCATAATGGAGCAATGCCAGTTCACGCATCGCACGATCGCGCCTTCAATTTTGCAGACGCAACACGGACATCCATCATGTACGAATAGTTGTATCTCTGCGCCGTCATCGATGCGCCTCCTTCTGCTTTCTCTATTTCCATACCGTGTTTGTTTCCGTTTTTTTACATTTTTTCTGTGGTGGTGCTTCAAAGGCTATGCGAGCAACACAGCCAAAGATAGGAAAGAAGTCATCCGGCCTCGTTTTTTAACTCTTCTCCCGAATCTCACTGGCAGCACAGAACAGAGTACTGCGAGTTCACGCCTTACGACTTACGCCATCACACCTTGAATTTTTCATGTGCAATATGCCTATTCATCAATCACGAATAGTTTTAGGTATCGCATTTTTATGTCTCTTTTTTTTCTAATTTGAGATAAGTTAAGGTTAGAGATAAGTAAAGG